TATATTAGTATTAGTATAGTAGATTAATATTATATAAATTATATAATAATTTATATAATATAAATATATATAATATATACAATAATTTATATAATAGGTCTATATAATAGAAAATTTTAAATAAATTTCAATTTTAAATTTAATGATAAATTGCTTAAATTTTAATAACTTTTTAATAACTTTTTTATGTTAATTGTTTTATATTTTAGAAAAACATTTTATTAAAAATTGTCGGACAATTAGATCGATGCATCGGTGTAAAACTAAGATTGACTTCTGTAAATGATTCTGAATTTATATTTAGGTTGTTTTTGCCTCTACGGAAACTGGATAATCAAGGAAGACTGATTATCATCGTACGCAGTACTCGACATGATCCGAGAATACACAAAGTGCCGGACATAGTTAAGGTAAAAATTAAAGTATTACTGAAATATCAAGTAACGCGAAATAGTAACAAAAAGTAATAAAATAACGTGTTTTTAATATTATAATAAAATATTTTCAATTGGTGTTTCTCAAACTGAGATTATTTCAGATCAGTATCATGTTGATAGAGCTGGCGATGAAAAATAACGTCACAGCATCTGTGTACGGTTGCGCAATGTTTTACGATGTGATCGATCCAACTCTACGTCACATTTTCCAATTTCGACCTTACATATTAATGAATATGATTCATACGTGGCAAAGCTGCTATCCTATAAGAATTCGATCGATGAATATGATCAACGCGCCAGCATTTGTCGATGTTACTGTCAAAATTATAAAATCTTTCATGACGGAGAAGATGAAGAGTAGATTTCACATTTACTCACACATGTCGCTGAGTTGTTTTAAGGATATTCCAGCTAATATCTTGCCAATCGAATATGGTGGCACTGATGGTACAATTCAGGAATTAACAGGTAATTGCGATCAATTAAAATTCTGAAATAAATGCGATACTTTTAGTGGACAGTAGGAGATATTTCTTATCAAACATTATCAAAGAAAAAATAAATTTCACTCACACTTAAGACGCAATCATTTACGTTTACTAAAAGCTAAATAATTACTAAAAATTAAAATTTATAGGCTTCTAAAATATATATGAAATACTCGTTTAAACTCGCATATACA